AGAACGCGACCTTGTCGAAAGACGTAAGTTTCGAATCGGGAATGTGGGAAATCGAGACGCGGAGTGTCCGGGACTTCGTCCCGGCTTAGTTCGCCGATGGGCGAACTAGAGGATGCTTCTTAGTTCGCCCATCGGCGAACTAAGCCGGGTCCGGCTTAGTTCGCCGATGGGCGAACTAGTTGCGACTAGTTCGCGTTTTACGGCTTTTTCGGTTTTTTGCGGTTTTGTAAAACTATTCTCGAGTTTTATAAAACGATCTTCGGATTTCATAAAACGACTTTTGAGTTTTATAAAAACGATTTCTCGAGTTTTATAAAACAATTCTCGAGTTTTATAAAACGATTCTCGAGTTTTATAAAACGGTTTCTCGAGTTTTATAAAACGATTCTCGAGTTTTATAAAACGTTTTCTCGAGTTTTATAAAGCGATTCTCGAGTTTTATAGAACGATTCTCGAGTTTTATAAAACGATTCTCGAGTTTTATAAAACGGTTTCTCGAGTTTTATAAAATGGTTTCTCGAGTTTTATACAACGATTCTCGAGCTTTTATAAAACGATTTCTCGAGTTTTATAAAACGATTCTTGAGCTTTATAAAACAATTTCTCGAGTTTTATAAAACGATTCTCGAGTTTTATTAAACGGTTTCTCGAGTTTTATAAAACGATTTCTCCAGTTTTATAAAACGATTCTCGAGTTTTATAAAACGATTCTCGAGTTTTATAAAACGATCCTCGAGTCTAATAAAACGATTCTCGAGCTCTATAAAACGATGTCTCGAGTTTTATAAAACGATTCTCGAGCTTTATAAAACGATTCTCGAGTTTAATAAAACGATTTCTCGAGTTTTATAAAACGATTTCTCGAGTTTTATAAAACGATTCCTCGAGTTTTATAAAACGATTCTCGAGCTTTATAAAACTGTTATTTTTGTATTCTTGCGGAAAGTTTTGGCTATTAATTCCGTCGTACCGATTTTGACCCCAACATATATTGTTAAAACAAATAGAAAAGAAGTGAGGAAGACGATTCTGGGTTCACATGGCAAAGCTTTCAACGAGATCTGCAAAGAAAGAAGAAGATGATTATTGGAGACAAACATGTGCCAAACACGTGACTGAGAAATTAATAAAGAAAACACATGACTACATATTATTTTCTTTCATTTTGAATTTTCTAGTTGTTTCTTCTTGAGTTTAGAGGTTTCATTTATAGTATAAATTCATTGACAAATATTAAAATCAAAAAAATACAGAATTATTCTCCAAAAAAATATTATATACGAAGTATAACTTAAAATGTTAATTTATACGTATAAAATATCGTATTATACATGTAAAAATACAAAAATTCCTCCCCGCGTACTCCCCGATTTTTTTCCGATTTTTCAATAAATCGCTAGGCGCTCGTGCGCCGCACGCATAGCACCTAGCGAGTTTCCGAACAAGGGATAAATATATAAAATCAATATATTACATATATAGAAATAGTTTATTATAATTACTTATTTTGTATTATTATATGTTAAAATCGTAAACATTTTAAAGTATTTTAGAGTAACATATTTTCCAAAATAAAATTACATAATAAATTTTATTTATTGTATATATTAGTATAACAAAATATATAAGTTGATAATACAAAAATTGAAAATACAGTTTTGATGAGATGGTTGGAGAGAAAAAAATTAGTGTGAAAACTCCAAAAGGAATAGAATAGTTTTCATATTGTAAAATGGAAATATTGGATCAAAACATTTGTTTGAAACTGTTATAGGTTGTACATGCCCCAAAAAACTAAAGTCGTCCACATGTGTTTGAAGCAGTGTCGGCCCTTGTAACAAAACCAAATAAGCCTATGCTTGCGGCCGTTTAATTTATAGAATATTTTTGGCCAGATTTTACATATATTTTCTTTAGTCTAGTGGAAGTTTATATTGCCAGTCTTATGTGAGCTCATAGGTTCAAACTTCAGTAGCTACAATACAATTTTTTTTTTGGTTTTTTGTCTGTTATTTCTTGTATAAAGCGGCCACATTTTTTTCTTTTTCTTCTGGTCTTTATAGTTCTAGGACCAGTCCTGGCTCGAAAGACACTAATACACAGTAAAATCTTAAGGGCCCTATAAAAAATCTATATTCAAATCACTAGCGACACGATAACTCCCAATCAAGTCTGTAGCTAAAACTCATACTGGAAAGCGCAACAAAAAGAATCAGCAGTATTTGACCGTTGGTTTCTTGAGAATTTAAGGTGACGTAGTTTAGCAGAACGTTTTGGGCCACAAGTTACCAAATGTAGATATTGACGGCTCATTCATTCTGATCTAGCAGCACATTTTATGCTACTGGATACCGGTTTAGATGCACTCGTGCATGTGAGTAGTAAACACGTGCGTATCTCAAACAAATATCCAATGTGTTGTTAACTCGTACGGACTGTATTTTAGTCGGCGAATGAGCGGCTAAATTTGAATTAGTTTTGTCGGTAAAAGTGAGACGTTAAGGGAATAATTTTGTCTTATTCATCATCCACCTCTGTGTTTTTTTCTTTTTCTTATTTTTTTTAACTCACCATCAACATTCATTTCACCAATAAACTGGATACACAAACTTGACCACAAGACTTTATACCACAGATACAATGGGATGATCTAGTATTACCCTGGATCACTAGTTGGATCCAATGTTACCTAATCATAGTCCCATTGTATATTGGACCACTATGAGACAACAATTACTCCATGACTCAGAGTAATCTGCCTCTTACACCTCCTAAACTTAGACCTCATGATTTGACAAACATCTACTAACACAGAGAACAAGAATCTAACCACAAATTACAATGAAACACAAGCTAATGGTCCCAAATGATCGGCTTTATGTTCATGTCCCAAGAGAATCTTCACCAAGGTGCTTTATCTAGGTAGACTCCTATCACTGGTGTTCAGCGTTGCGATCCTCAGCCTCAAATCGGATACTACGATCCGTACTGAAAGATGGGTCTCGGCGACAGACATGGATCGGTTCTTCATGTACAAAGCTTTTAGAGGTGCAGAGTTCATACCACCGGTTGGAACGGGTTGTTCCTCTCTGATGCTGGGATGCAGAGACTCCACCACGTATTTCCGTAAAGCTAGCTCCTTCGGTTGACCACTCCGTTGCAAACCTTGATGTGTGTCGTCCCTCAGAACTAAAAGACGACCCTCTGTCCAATGTCTGCTGAAACTGTCCTTCGGCTGACCACTCCGTTGCGAACCTAGATGCGTGTCATCCCTGAGAACTAGTAAAAACAATAGAGATTAAAAAAGTGTAAAACTGATAAAAATTAGAAAACAGGAAATTATAAAAATTTGGAAAACAAAAAAACTTCAAAAAATAAATTCAAAAGATCGTTAAAAATTAGGAAAATTTCATACAATCAGGAAAAATTAAAAATTAAAAAGTTAAAATACTGAAAATTCAAATTAATAAAGATCAAAATATATTTATAAATTCAAAAAAAATAACAACAAAAATAAATTATAAAAATTGTTAAAAATTAAGAAAAAAATCTGGAAAAAAAGAAAACCAGAAAGTGGCAAAACTAGCAAAACTTATGAAGTTGGAAAAAGTTTTGAATCCAAATCTATATGATCTGAAGGATCTGAACCCGGACATCCGAACGTTTATATGTCTACCTAAACATCAAAGAGGTTTGGGTCAAGTATTTTCATTTTCAATTTTTAATGTTTTGATATTAGAAATTTTGTTTTCCAGTTTTTTTATAAATTTCCCATTTTCTAAATTTTATCGATTTTTACACTTTTTAATTTCTTTTTTACTATTTTTTAGTTTTAATCGATTTTTACTATTTTTAATTTTTATTATAAACTTTTGAATTTATAAATTTATTTTTATTTTTAACTTTTATGAATTTTATTTATTTTTCCTGAATTTATCTTAATTTTTAGAGTTTAAATTGATTTTTTATCTAATTTTATTTATTTTAAATAATTATTTTTTAAGTTAACCGCCACATCATCGGTTTTTACCTGTTAATGAACAGTAATTGGTCTCAATTTTGACGTGTGCAACAAGTAAGTTAGTTCGGTATTTAATATGTTATTGTTACAAGTTTCATTGTTTAAAGTGTTAGCAGTTGAGTCTCAAGGTTTAAAGTGCAAATTTTTGCCAATGTCATGATTTTTTAATGCAATTTTCCCAAAAAATTATTTTCGTTTTTATTAATTATTTTTTTGTATTTTTTTTATTTTTATTGTTGAAAACATAATATAATTTAAAAAGATTTTGTTTTCTTTTTCAAAAAATATTAAATATGAAATAATACAATTTTGTTGGATTGTGAACTTAGAAATTTATCCTATGGGATGAATTCAAAAATAACTCTATTGGAATACATGTTGGCTTGGCATGTTACTTTTTTTTTTTTTTTTTTTTTTTTTTTTAACATGTTGGCTTGGCCAGTCAAAAGTAAGAACTGAATAAAGATCTGTCTTTACCAAAACGGCCAAACCTAACTTTTTTATCATCTTTATTTTCAGATATATTATTTTTTTAAAAATAAAACTTTCTAAAAATTTCACCTCAGATTTTTTTTTTTGTTCAAAGATTTCACCTCAAATTTCTAAAAATTTATGCAAAAAATATCAGAGCTTTCCTTGTAGGTTTCCGTGATTTGGTCGCTTTAACTTCCAACATTACCCCACGCGTTCCTTATGCGCGTGACGTCACTCACCTCTTGCTTTTACACGCTCCATCGTACGATCATGTAACAAAAAGAAGAAAGTTGTCGACACATAGACGCAGTAAGAGGGTGCCACGTGTATATCTACAGCTGTACCCCCAAAAACTTTCAAAAACCGCTTGCGTGGAAGAAGCGGTGCCCATGGGGCCATGACTTTCTCAACCTACTTAACCGGTTACCGGTTACTCTCCCCTTTCTATGTATAAATACATTTTCTTCTTCCGTGGCTTCCTCTTCTAAAATATCTTCTCGATTCAATGGCGGATCGGGTTAAAGGTCCGTGGAGCCAAGAAGAAGACGAGCAGCTACGGAGAATGGTGGAGAAATACGGACCGAGGAACTGGTCGGCGATTAGCAAGTCGATTCCAGGTCGATCTGGCAAATCGTGTCGATTACGGTGGTGCAATCAGTTATCTCCGGAGGTTGAGCACCGTCCGTTCTCGCCTGAGGAAGACAATACAATCATCTCCGCTCGTGCAAAGTTCGGCAACAAATGGGCCACAATCGCTCGTCTTCTCAACGGACGCACGGACAACGCCGTGAAGAATCACTGGAACTCGACGCTAAAGCGAAAATGCGTAGAAGGGGGAGGAGATTCTAATCTCATTGCGACGGAGAACGATCGGCAGAAGAGGAGGAGATCGGTGAGCGCTGAATCTGCTCCTCTGGTGGACACTGGGTTGTTGTTCATGAACCCTGAGAGTCCCACCGGAGTAAGTGACTCCAGCACGATTCCATCTCCGCCGTCTCAGTTTTTGAAGCCAATGCCGGTTTCCGGCGGATTCACGCTGCCGTCACCGGTGGAAATGTCTTCGTCGGAGGAGGATCCGGAAACGTCGTTGAGCCTGTCACTGTTACTTCCCGGAGCTGAGGTCGGTCAGGAGTTGAAGAACACGGGTTTGAGCAACAATGCGTTGCTGTTTCCGCGGTTTAAGAGTCAGATGAAGATTAATGTAATGGAGAGTGAAGAAGGACGTCGAGATGAGTTTATGAGGGTGGTGCAGGAGATGATTAAGGTGGAAGTGAGGAGTTACATGTCTGAGATTCAGAAAAATGGTGTTGGCGGGTTAGTTGTCGGAGGTTTGTATGAATCTCTTAACGGAGGTGTCATGGATAGTGGAATAGTACCCAAGGTCGAGTAGTTAGGAAACCGGATCCATTTGGAGATTAGAAATACAATTCATTTTTGTGTTGTGTTGGTCAAATAATAAAGAATAAAAAATGTACATCGAAATTAAATTGGATGATAAAGTGGGATAATCTTTATTCAACATTTGTGTATGCCTTTTGTTTATGATCAGTCTATTCAAATCTGAATTGAGTAGAACTCCTGATTTATATAGAGTTGATTACCATCTAGGCCACTTTTTGACTTTCTATTGCATTGGGAGACACATTTCACTTGAGAGACACAATAATGTGAATCAAGAGAGACTTTGGACTATTTTGTCCCTAAAGGAACGAGAGGGAGAGAAAGAGGGAGAGAGAGAGAGAAACGAGAGGGAGAGAGAGAGAGAGATTTTTGTCAATTTCTATTTAATGTTGTTTATTTTTCTTATTCCACTTATGCTTTTATTTAATTTTATCTCAAATTCTACAATATATAAAAGAAAAATAATTGTCACAACCAATTATACATAAAATTCTCTATCTTTTAACATCCATTGTCATATATTTATTTTATATATATATTAAAACTTTGGTTAAATCATTTTTTGAAATGGTACAAACATATTATTTTGTTTTCAAAACAAAGATTTTAGTTATGTTGTGGATATTAATTTGTCCACAGATAAAATGAAGATTTTTTTTTAGAACTTAACGAATTTTTTTTTTTAAATTTATCGATACTTCGTGAATTTATTATTTTTTTTAAACAAAGATTATGTGTACACAATTTATTGTGTGGATGAGTGATTCATGGACACGAGATACGTGGATGGATGGTGTGTGAAAAAATGATGTGTGGATGGCGTTATGTTTGTGGACGACTATCTATGAACGAATTGATGTGAACATGGACTGAGGTTTATGTGGATGAGTGTGACTAAAGCTTAAGAACACTGAAAAGTTTGGTTGCTAACAAACACATAAATGATTTTAAAAAAGAACATATGTGAAAGATGATTATTAGAATCCACATGCAAAGCAATTGACTTTAATCACCCAAATATCATGGCAAATAACAAAAACCAGAAACACTTTTTTTTACCTACTGAGTCTTCTCAAAAGAATCAATTTATTTTTTTGAAGACATTAATTTAAAATATGGTGCATTATGAGCAACATGAAAAGAGAGTTCTAAAAAAAAATCTGGAAAAAGAAAATTTTGTTAATTAGAATTTTCGAAATTGTAAAGTAAAAAGAAAGAGAAAAGATGGACCACCTATTTTTTTATAGCTCAGCTAATATAGTAAACGATGGAAAGTGGTTTTGTCTTTAGTTGAAGGACATTGATGTCTTTCATACAGTATAACAAAAAGTGGCTCTGGAGGTAAAAAAATCATTTATATAACAAAAAACCTATAACTAGTAGCTCAAAACGAAAATGTGTTAACCGATTCTTCGATTTGATCTGTGATTAGTGAGACCTTGTGACGTAGCCGTGACAATTACACTGTCTTAATCAATACTAAAGGTTATGATAACAAGAAATATTGTACACATAATCTTAATGATTTCTATTCCTTTGATAAGAATTTCATGTTTGTAAAAACCCTTGTATACGAGTGAGGATAGGATACCAGAGCCAAACCATCTCCAACAATCTACGTCCTGAAGGTCTATAAGTAACATTTCATATTCATTTGGACTTACACCTTTGACTAGTGATACCTTGTAGTACCTGCTACATATAAATATAGTAGTGTCAAAAGTCAAAACCAACAGAAATATGATTTAACGAAATATTCTATAAATTCTAGAAGAACTCCTATAGGTTATCAATAAATCTCGTGTTTATATAAGCTATCCAGGTGAGCCAAATTGATAACACACAGTGACTTGTAAGCCTTAATCACTGTTTTTGCTGATCATTCATGTGGTCCATTAAACACTTGTACGCCTTAGATACTGTTTTACCTGTGACATTAAAAATTACACTAGAAGGTTTACTAGGGACAACAACTATTCTGATGAAGGAGTTGTTTCCTTTGGAGGTGAGGTCCGAAAGATTGACCTCCGATCAGAAAAAAAAAATGTGCTTAATATAAAACAAAGAAATTACGTAATGGAGTTATTTGCAACGGAAATTTGCCAAATATGACTCAAAACTTGGATTCAAATGCAAAAGTAAACCCAAACATGGATCAAATGCAAAAGTAACCTAAAATGCTATTGAAATTACAACCAGTCATTTGTGAACAAACAAAAAACCCGAATTTTTTTTTTACATTTCTAACCCTCGTAAGTAGTCTATCCAGACGATTTAGTTGAAAGTCGTGTAGTATAGTTATTCTTAAAAATAATTTAAAAATTTTGTAAAAAATATTTAGATAAGTGAAAAATTGAAATCATGTAATTAACATATGTTTTAAGAGATATAAATTAATATATAACAAAATTTAATTGTTTTCAACATAGATGAGTGAAAGTAGTGAGTCATTGTATTCTTTGGTTTAGGTTTTGCCAACATATGTTGTAATATTGTATGTGTTTCTCAGGGTTAAATTTTTGAAAGCATAAATGTTTTTTTGAAAAATTTAAAATTTACCTAAGTGTGTTTATTTCTGTGTATAGTAAACATCATTTAAGTATAATTTGATTTTATAATGTGGTTAGTTAGTTAATTTAGTCAATTTAGTTTAGGATTTAAGATTTAAGGTCTAGACGACTTACTATTAAGTCATCTGGTAAATATTTAAGGTAGACGACTTACTAGTAAGTCGTCTGATATATTGTATCAACAGACGACTTAATAATAAGTTTTCCGAACCGGACCGGACCTTTGATTTTACAAATTTACTTTTATACCTAACCGATTTTTTACCGGACATATATAAGATTTTTTTTTTACTCACTTTTTCACGAAATTCAGAAAACCCTAACGCCGTTTCTCTCGAAGGCGATTTCAAAGGCGATTTCCATCGAATCTCTCTAATTCATAGTTCTAAACGTCGGTTTTCTCTCTGCCTTACCACCGTCGTTATCACCACCGTTCTCACCGCCGCTTCCTTTATTTCAGATCTGAGAGGAAACCATAGCGCCGTTTCTCTTAGAGGCGTTTCGTTGAACTCTGCTGCCGGTAAGTTATATCTAAAGAAGAACATGAAACATTGTTCTCACCATCGTTCTCATCGCGCTTCTTTTTTCACGTCTTTTTTTTTGCAGATCTATAACCGCTGTGTCGAAGGCGACTATATCTTCTCCGAACTTTCAGGTCAGCTTTCCAATGTTCTACTGGAAGTCTTGGTAGACTTATAATTAAGTCGTCTGGAAAGTCTTCCACCTGGAAGACTTTCCAGACGACTTAAGTATAAGTCTTTCAATTGGAATACTTGACAGACGACTTAATTATAAGTCGTTTGGAAAGTCTTCCAGACTTATAATTAAAATGTTATACTGGGTGATTGTGTGTTTGAGAATGTTGTCTTTGATTGTTTTGTAGGGAAAAAATGAATATTCCAGAACTCCCTCGTAGGATATATACTCATCCCGTTCTCGGGGGGGGGGGGGGTCATTGCATAGCATTTCGTATCATCCGTGTACGAATTTGTATATTGCTCTAAAGAGTGTTCTTAATGATGAAGAATATGATGAGCTGAAGGATTCTAAGTTGGGAGTTTTCATCAAGTTTCAAGAGCTGGATTTTTCATGGGCTTCAAGGCTGTTTCACTACATGCTCGGTTTGCAGCTCGACATAAAGAAGAAGTATGAGCTGTGGAGTATTTTTGGTCCACAACCTTTGAGGTTTTCATTGTTAGAGTTTGAAAACTTCACTGGTCTAAACCGCGAGTACATCGAGGACCTTGAGAGACCAAACTGTCATGTTACAAAGGATTTGGATGCTTTCTGGGAGTTGTTGGGAGTTAATATCGAAATTGGGCCAACTACTGATCAGATAATAGCAGCATTTAAGAGATTCGAAAGTTGGTATCCGGATGATCACAAGCGGCTCGGGTACCTTGCCATCTTCACTGGATACATTGAAGCATTGAAGGAAGGAAGTTCTTAACCTCTACACGGGCTGTTCTGGCAAGGCTAGTGATGGATCTAGAACGATTTGAGAATTATCCATGGGGGAGAGTCGCATTTAAGGTGTTGATGGACTCTGTGAAGGGCAAATATATATCCGGTTGTTACACCATTGATGGGTTTGTACAGGCTCTCCAAGTCTGGGTGTACACAGCTCTGTCGGAATTGGGTGCTACTTATGGTAATCCCATACCAAACAATCCGTCTCCACCGATACTGGCTTAAAAGGGTGGCAAAGGACGAAGATTGTTTAAAGAAGCTGTTGAAAGACATGTATTTACTTCAATCCAAAAGACTATTTGAAAACTTATGAATAACTCGTCTGGAAAGTATTCCAGTTGGATAACTTAAACATAAGTTGTCTGGAAAGTCTTCCAGTTGGATGACTTAGCAGACTACTTTTTGAAAACTTATGAATAAGTCGTCTGGGTAGTCTTCTCGGACGACTTAATGATAAGTCCTTTACTAAGTCATCCAGCTGGAAGACTTTCCAGACGACTTAATGCTAAGTCCTCTACTAAGTTATCCAGCTAGATGACTTAGTAGATGACTTATCATTAAGTTGTCCGGGAAGACTACCCAGACGACTTAATAATAAGTAGTCTGCTAAGTCATCCAGCTGGAAGACTTTTCAGACGACTTATGTTTAAGTCGTCTGCTAAGTCGTCCAGCTGGAAGACTTTCCAGACGACTTAATCATAAGTTTTCTACGAAATCTTCTATTTCTATCTTTCTTAATCCGTCAATATCTAAGTTTATATCTTCTATTTACTGCAGACTAGGTTGATGCACTTTGTTGAGAAGGGCCTTGGTGAAATGTTTCCAAAATGGGACTCTGAAGCTGAGGACTCGGCTTCGGAGAACATAATAAAACTTATGTATATAAAGAAAACATGGAATTAGACCATGGATTCCTGGGAAGTCACCGGTACTTGGGTCAAGACAAGGC